GCCTGACATAGGCTTAGAAGATTTCTTAGAAACTACTGCTTTTGCATGAAATGGTGTTCCATTGCATCTCCACGGCCTTTCGGGATTTCTCCGTTGTCCTGCTCTGTGCTTCACAGGCCAGAGATCAAAAAGAATAATGAACTTAACTCTGTCCTCCGACTGTGTTTTCTCTGCAGAGGAGCCTACCACGGAGGCAGTCCTTTCACAATTGGCTTGTCAAACGTAGGGCAATTCAAGATGACACTCCCCAGCGGGGTGGGCTGCCAATCAGTGAGTTTTGAGATTTTTTGTCTTATTTCTCTAAAGGCTGCTGGATAAGTGGAATAATTGATGTTTAAAATAACTTCAGATTTTCCGGGTATTAGCCTTAGAAATGAATATAAAGCCCATCATTCACCCGGGGCTCAGTTTGACTTAATTGTCTAAAGACCACTGGGGGGAAGTGTTCCTTAGAAAGGCCTTCCAAGTCTGAGTAATAGGATTTTTAAAACTAGTTTTACTCTTAAATAAAATCAAGTAAGTTTCAATAAATGCATTGAAATTAGATCTCAAACCTTTAAATGCATAAACTGTCTATAAAAATCACCCCTGTCCTCACCCTCTTCAGCGTCAGACACCTACTTATTCTTATTCTTTCGGATGCCCTCACCCACCAGACCCTTGAGCAAGCTGTTTCCAGGCTGACATTGAAACCAGTTTCCTTTGTAGAGGCCCACACACCTTTTCCTAAGAAAAAAATGACCCCTGCAGAGCAGAAAAATTAGGTTTTCACCCTAAGTGGGAGAGGAACCTCGATATCAAATTAAGAAACCCTCTTGCCTTGATTGGTACCATGTGTTCCCCCAATTGGCTGTCTTCTGCTCATGTTTTGCCAAACTTCTCTTTTTGTCCTTTGCAGACAATGTGCCCAGATGTTTTCCGTGGTCCTTGGGGAGGAAGCCACTGTCGAGACTCTCCAGTGCAAACGATTAGGAAATGCAGCTGTGCACCAGGTCCCATGGGCGGGGAGGGAGGGACCTGGTGGAAGGGGGACCTGGTGGAAGATCAGGGTGGGGAGGGAGGGACATGGTGGAAGGTCAGGAGCAATTAAGTCACTTGGAGAAAGGCTGATGCAATTTCGGGGAAAAGTGGGGAAGGAAACAAAACTAGAGAGCAAGCCCTCATTGAGTCACTCCTCATGCCCACGGCCACTGTCCCACCTGGCTGTTGGGAAAAGCACCTCCTGCTCCCACAGCCAGGCTACGCGCAGGCCCTCACCTGGTAGTTACTTAAAGGAGCTCTGCGAGCTCTGTTAGCAATAGCTCTGCTATTGATCTTAAAAGAAAACACAGTTGGTGAATCATTTACCCATTTCCAAGGGAGGGAGGGGAGAGGAAAAAGAATACTTTTAGAAATCTCAAAACTCCCCAGGGACTCAGAATGCCAGCGAAAATGAGAGCATCTGTCAACACATAGGGCCATTCGTGAAAGCTGCTTACATCTCTCGCCAATGTTGTGAAGGCATTCTCACAAGGAAAGCTTCTATTTAGCAAACGCATTGTTTTTGCATGTTTTACACGAGGGCGGAGGCATGGGCATGGCATCTGTTCTTTGCTAACCACCAAGTCCCACCTCAGATCTGTCGCCATAGTTCAGCACCGTTTCGTAGCTGCTCCTCGGGAGTGCTGAAGGGAAGCACTAGATGTTCCGGCTGAATGAGCTTGAATAGAATAGTGAGCGCCACTGTGCTGAGAGGGAGAGTGCAAATGGAAGTCTTTAAAAGCAGCTTGGAAAGGAAGAACAGTCGCAGGCACCTTAAAATGCAGATGGGATAAGGCAGATGGAGGTAGAAAGATGTGAGAATGAGCACTGGATCCAGATGTCAGGGGCACAGAACTTAAAACCATAAGGAATTGTCCAGCTGTCATTCAAACCCTGTACAGATGAAGAAACCAAAGTCCACACCTAGGGAGCAGCACAGCTAGGACTGGAACCCAAGTCCCTGACTCCAAAGCCAGTGCTCCCAACCTCCGAGCACCCTGGTTTACACCAATATCCCAGCGGGATAAACCCAGGCTTTGAAATAACGCCTGTTCCGCTGGCTGGGAGCAAAGAGACATGTGAAGTCAGGAGGCCTGGATCCCACTCCCTGCCCGACATGAGAGAAAGCCCCATCTTTTGCTTAAGTTTTCTCATTTGAAAGGTGGAGATAAGAATGCCTGCCTCCCTGACCTTTAATCCCAGGACTTCATGCGATCAAGGCAAGAGGATTTTTGTAGAGGAAGGCAGATCATAGCAAGGCCAAGTACAATCAGACCTGTATATCTTATCTCTATGGCATCAAGATCCAAACTCACTTAGGTTCACCTCACAGGCCTCAATACGACTGCCAAACCACCAGCACAGAGCCTAGTAGACAGAAGCACTCAAGGGATGGTCATTCCCTCACCTCCCTGCCCTGTGTCCCCCTCTCTCTCCGTTCTCTCTGCCTCCTCCCTCTCTGAGGTCTTTCCCTCAGCCGTAGGCCAACTAGATAGAAAATACCAGAACCTCTCTGGTGGTAATCTCTCTATTGGCAACTAGAGGCTGATTGGTAGTGACAGGCGTTATCCCTGCTCCCCTGAACTTGTCTTCAGCATTCTGAAGTCAGCTGTTTTGCTAACTCATATTCTCAAGGGATAAGGCTGACGCCGTATCTTTACATGGAATTGGAATGCAAAAAGCGACTTTAGCCTCTGCTAGTGCTTTTAGGGCCTGAGAAGTTGGTCTTTGCTGTAAAAAAGGTTTATTCAAATATGTTTACAAAAACATTCCAACACACGAAGTACTTTGGATAGAAAGTTCCCATTGTCGGGTTCCTCTTGGGGTCCACTCAGGTGCCAATCTCCATAGAAGATGTTTCACCTCAGCATTATCCCATCACTCCCCACATTGACCTAAGCAGGGGATCCGTTTTGTGAGCCTAATATAGGGGGTCGTGTGGTAGATTGCATTGTCCCCCGTCACTCCCTCCTGGGGAAACTTTTATTCCCAATTGTTCATTCCAGGCCCTGAATTGCAGATGTAACCTGTGATGAAATTCACTGGTCAGTAGCCACTGACCCCACAATGTACTCAACCTGTTACTGTTCATGTCACTCTTCTTCACCTTGTCTTCTTTTTCTTGATTTTTCTTTCTTCCTTGGCTCCCCATTCTGCTTAACTCTTTCTACATCATCAGCTGAAAAAAGAACTCTCCCTTCTCCACGCTGATGCTTGGCTGGTATCCCACAGAGCATCCAGTCTCCACCGCCTTGACGTTGTCATGGTGACACCTCTGCATCAAGTCTCTCTCCAGGGCCAGCCTGACCTGGAGTTACAGCAATGAGCCAGTGAAGTAAATGTGAAGTGAAGAAAAACTCTGATGACAGTGGATGGCCCCTCTCATCGCTGAGCGTGTGGGCGGTGGGGGTGGCATCAGGAAAGGTCAGCTCAGAATCAAGCAGAATATTATCTTCTCTGGGTTTGTCCAAATTTAAGACATTGGGTTGATTTTGCTCTACCCTTTGCTTTCTCTAATTATAAATGGGCTTGATAAACATCCAAATTATATCTTTTGGACATGTGTCTATCCATCCTTTCAGGTCATCCTAGACTGTTTTCTCTTCCTTTCTTAAAAATAAGAAATCCCAATCTCTAGAGGCATAGATTTATTTGTCTACTATATCCTGCCCATCCAGAAATGTAGCTGATGCTAACCATGTGCTTGCTGGGTTTGATATCCTTTCCATCACTCCCTTCTTCACACCCCAACCCCCAACTCTAACTAACCCAAGATATCAGGTACCTCTATCAAGCCAGCTTTCCCAAACATCTCTTATGGCCTAAAAAAGCTGGTGGGGGCCAGGTAGTGATTTTCTCATTTTTCAATGAAGAGCTGGAATACGAAATAGATTTATGCTTCCATCTTGAGGGTGATGACTGAAGGTCTCTATTCCTCATCTTTAGCCTTCAGGATACAGGCTGCAGCCATGCCTCTAAGTGAGTGTTAGGATGGGAGCTGGTGACTCGTCTTCCAGACTTTCACTGTCACTTCCTTTGCATCCGTATTGCCCTGGAGATCCTCTACTGTCCACGGATATGAGTTTTTATGTTCAAAGAACCGATGGGGCTGTTTAGATCCAAGTTACAGGGGCAGGTAGAAATTCTGAAGGTTCAGTCATGCGGATGTGTCCATCAGGGACCTTTTGCTATTCCAGAGGGGACCGCTTCCTGCTCTCCTCGCTGCAGGGATGGAGGTCATCCGGCTCTAGTATATTCCTCTGTAGACTGAATTCTAATTGTTCTAGAAACACACTGACTAGCTGAAGACTGAGGTACTTCATAACTTTAAAATAGTATAGCAACTTAAGTATCAACAAAAGGTACATAGAGTTATTTTCAAATAGATTAACACCTCCCCCCCCCACCCCCCATGACATTTGAATGAAATCCATGCAGCCGAGAGGATGGGTCTCCTTAGAGGAAGCAGCCATCTATACCAAACTCAATGGCACTTCGGGCATTTCCTCCCCAGACGGAAGGACGGAGCGGTTTGTTTGTGCCTTTGTGGTTGCCTTCGTTGTGCTGCTGGAGCCAGAGTACAAGCCCTTCTGACAGAATGTTCCCCCTTTGGGAATCAGGACCCTGCCACCCTGGTTTTCTGTATCCTGAGGGACTCCGGGCCATCTGTCCTTCCTGTTTGCTTTGGTCTGTGTTTTCCCCACTCCTCTGGATGTCATTGCACACCCTCACACACGTGGGGGTTTCGTTTCTTTGTTGGTTGTCATCCGCAGACTGCTGCCAAGCTAAAGACCAGTATATCGAGCAGTTCAAAGATACCCTCAGCACCTGTGTGGGCAAGTCAATCGCTGGGTTTTTTGCAGAACCAATCCAAGTGAGTATGTCAGCCTGAGGTAGTACCTGAGTTTACAGTTGTCAGAGTTTTAACTCAGACATTCTAGAGAATTGTGAAATCCTTTAACCATTGCCATGTCCCTCTCCAAAGTCAATTTATTCCCTTGGTCCCTTGGGAAGAAAAGAGAGCCCATGATTTTCAACTGACTCATATATATACCATCTTCTGAATTTCTGGGCTGGACAGATAGATAAACTATTAAACTCCCAATATTCTGAAAAACAAAACCCCAGCAATTTTTAGTTGCTTAATACCCACATTGTGAGGAGAGGTCTTTCTACACGGTGGGACAAAAGTAGATTTGCAATTATTTATATGGAAATAATGCAATAATTAGGAAGTTATAATGCAAGAATAAACCCTGTGTTTCATGTACTCACAACTGTAAACCTACTTCTGCCCCACCCTGTATGACCTTAATTTACTCTTATTCTAACCTCAGGAAAGCATACATTTGCATTTTTCCCCAGAAGGCATGGCATAGGAATCATGGCCTCTTCTCACCCAGAGTGGAAGCAGTTCTAGAGACTGTTTTAAAAGTTGCTGGAATTGCAATTCAGGTCAAAATGGCAGAATAGTTGACCGCCTCCTCCCGTGACCACATCAAGTTACCACTAACCTGCAGGACAGTAGCCTGGAGACCCGCCTGAAGAGGAGCTGGCGGAAGAGCTGTAACCAAGGGTAGAAGACGCCAGGACAGAAAAAATATTTTATTTTGAGTATAAAAAAGTGGCTAAAAGTACTAATAATGATGAGCGCCCTTCCTTTGTTTTTAACACTTTCAAAGGCCGCGCTGCTGTGCTAGGTCTCCCGGTTTGGACTCTTGCAGGGGGTGAACGGGTTCGTCCAGTACCCCAAGGGGTTTCTGAAGGAGGCCTTCCAGCTGGTGCGGGAGCGAGGCGGCGTGTGCATCGCAGACGAAGTGAGTGGCCCTGGAACACGCAGAGTGGGCGCAGGGGCAGCGAGGCGCAGGGAGAAGCCCTTGTAATGCCCCTCTGTGTTCCAGGCAGAGAACGGCCAGGGTGGGAACAAGTTAGTGGAGCTTCTGCTCTTGGCCGGCTGGTTTCTTCATGGATTAGTCGGTCTTTTGAACAAGCACAGACAGCAAATTGAAGTCTATCACATATTGCCATCACTGAAAATATCTTTACATTCCGATTTGGGGTTACACCAGGGGCCACTTAAAAACCACAGAGGAAACTTAATCTCGTAACCAAATCGTCATCGGATGATTGTTGCCGAGAGAGCGTTAACCATGCTAGCCGCATCCGCCTTACCTTAGTAACAAAACTTGTTTGGAAAGGATATTAAAAAAGAAAGAAACCCAGCCCCTAAGTTAGAAGAGGACCACCACTGGGGATACTCAAAAAATAGTTCCCGCCCTGACTGGTTTGGCTCAGCGTTGGCCTGCGGACTGAAGGGTCCCGGGTTCGATTCCGGTCAAGGGCATGTACTGGGTTGCGGGCACATCCCCAGTAGGGGGCGTGCAAGAGGCAGCTGAATCGATGTTTCTAACTCTGTATCCCTCTCCCTCTCCTTTCCTCTCTGTGAAAAATCAATGGAATATATTTTTTTTAAAAAATAGTTCCCAAAAAATTCTAACATAGCTTGAGTTAAGGCCTTGTTGGAACAGCATACTGCCTCAGGGGATGACTTTGAAGAATAGAATTCATTGCTTCTGTGAGCTCTAGCCTGTGTGTTTTTAAAAGAGACCAGTTTACTTATAATCACACCGCATATTAGAGTCTATTAAGAAAGTAATGTTTTGCCTCCTGATACTAGCAATGGCGATCGATGGGCAGAGGATGGCGCCCAGGCCCCCAAAGGTGCTCCCGGCTCCTTCATCCTGATTTCACCAGCAATGGTGGCCCCACCAAGAGCAGGTGGGGACTCCTATGCTGCATGCAGGTTCCAGATCTGCCATCTTTGCCTGATCCATTTTCCTCAACTAATCAACCCAACGCAGACCTCGGGCTCCCCCCCAATTTTTTTTGTTTCGTTAATCCTCACCTGAGGATATTTTTCCATTGATCCAATGATTTTTAGAGAGAGTAGGAGGGAGAGAGAGACAGAGAGAGAGACATGTCAATTGATGGTTTCCCACATACACCCTGATGGAGTGGGCAGGGGGAATTGAGCCTGCAACTGAGGCATGTGCCCTTGACCGGAATCAAACCACCTGGACCCTTCAGTCTGCAGATCAATGCTCTATCCAAGCAGACCTCGGGCTCCCCCGCAAAATTTTTTTTGTTTCGTTAATCCTCACCTGAAGATATTTTTCCATTGAATATTTTTCCATTGATCCAATGATTTTTAGAGAGAGTAGGAGGGAGAGAGAGACAGAGAGAGAGACATGTCAATTGACTGTTTCCCACATACACCCTGATGGAGTGGGCAGGGGGAATTGAGCCTGCAACTGAGGCATGTGCCCTTGACCGGAATCAAACCACCTGGACCCTTCAGTCTGCAGATCAATGCTCTATCCACTGAGCCAAACTGGCTAGGGCCATTCTCAGATTTTTTTTCTGCAGTTTCTACACATGCAGCTGGGTCTCTGTTAACCACCGCCCCTCTGCAACCTGCTGGCTCAAGGTTAGGGAACGTCAGCTAATCAAAGTCCCAGCTGAAGAAAGTTAATCTGTTATTAAAAAGAAGAAAAACATATTCAATAGGTTTGCAACTCGCTCCATCAGTGAAAAGAATGAACTTTCACCTTTGTAGTCAGTGCAGCCTGAAGCTGCTGCACTTGCCCTGAGCAGAGGGAAGGCAGGCTGGATTCCCAGGAAACATGAGCTGCAGGGTTTTCTGAGACGTGGTTTGTCACTTGCTAGAACATGATTGGAAACTAACTCAAGGTGACCTTAGAAGGGCAGTGGGAATGGCCAGGCAACGCGAAGACTGGCTGGAACTTTCCGAACATTCCCTGCGTTCCAGGTCCATTTGTAACGATTCGCCAGCTAATGCCCCTGGCAGCTCTGTAAGGTACGGCCCATTGTCATTCTTCTCGCTTTCTAGAAAACTGACTTGAACTCCAAGCCGGTTAAATCACCCGCCAGGGTCATGCAGTTAGTAGAACCAGAGCCAGAACTCAAACCCAGGCTCCAAGGCCACAGTAACCACTGGGCCACGCTGCCACTCCTGACGAGATCGTGGCACAGAAGGCAGAGGCGGGCAGAGAAAGAGGGAGCAGGATGGGAAACACACAGATCATCTTGAGTAGCAGGCTCTGCTCTGCTCTTCTCTTCTTTAAAATGAGGAATTTGGAACCAGATAGAAAACTGGCCTCCCTCGGCACTGGTCCGGCATGAATTCGGTTTAGATGTGAAATTGACGGCTCTTAGGCAGGGCGTGCCCTCTCCCCCACTCCCCGCCACAGTCCCCACCCATCGGGCTCTCCCACTGCTCATGCTCCCCATCCCCAAGCATTGGCATGTGTGGGCCTTAGCATGAGTCAGCCCTGTTCCCTTGAAAGGTTCCATGAAACTGACACTTCCTCCATGACTGCACATGGCGTGTTGTCTGTCCTACATCATTTCATGCAGTGTCCAAGCAATCTGGTTTTTCACCATTTATTTATGATACTTAGATAGATGGAGTAAAATAAAGGCAGGAAGACAACATGAATGGATTTCCCACAAGCTCTTCCTACATGATGTCATTTGGTGGTGACAATGGCTGGCAATGCTGATCCTGACGCAGTTAGTAGGGCCAGAGCCAGACTCAAACCTACATGATGTCATTTGGGCAAATCCAACAGCTTGCCCAGCGGCCCAGAGCTAGGAAGTGGGAGACCCCCAGGCTGGGGCCCAGGTCTGTGCAGCTCCTGGGTCTAAGCTCGGCCACGTGGTTTGCCATCATGTCATTCTAACCCCTGGAGTCCGCCTGGGCAGCGCACCCTGGAGAGAGCGGGAGCCATAGGAAGGACGCCTGGAAGGAAGCTCATTCAAGTACATTTCAGAGGCAGCAGCTCCACACCTCGGTCCCAACCTGCAATGTGTGTATCAGAGACGGAGACCGCCAGACAGGCCAGGAGACTGAGCCAGGGAGAGGTCAAGGAGCCGGGGCAACAGAGGCCCTGGCCAAGTGCGATGGCAGTAGCATGCTGGTTGGCTGTGTGCGCTAGGCGCTCGGCCACGCCGTTCATTCTCCAGACCCTACGTGCCTGCTTTTACCAGGCGCTCTGCGGTGCTCTGGATCAAAGGAGGTGCAAGATACAGCCCCTGGCATCAGACAGGTACCCTGGTGCTGACAGCCTAAGGCGGGAGGTTCCGATGGCAGAGGCGGCTGGTTCCGATGGCAGCATGCCCAGATGCCGTGACTGGGGGCCCTGCTGGGCTCAGGAAAATCAGCCTTGACCACACGATGATGAGGAAGCTGTGCTTGAAGACAAGAGGAATTGGTGGCATGAAAACAGGGAGGGCGTCTCCTAGAAAGAAGGAACAACATGAACAAGACAACGAAGATCAACTTTCGGCCCTGAGTACATGGCTCAGCTGGGTCCTCCTGGTGACGGGAACCCTCAGGAAGAAAGGAGGTCGCCAGGAAGAGGAAGGCTGTCCTACCTGGGCGGGTGGCAGGTACCCGACCCCCACCCGCTTCCTGTAATTGCTGCCTCACCCAGCCGGGGGCAGGGGCTGCTCCTCCAGGCTCCTCCCTGCCGCCTTGCACACAGGAGTTGCTAAGTTTTGCTAAATCATAATGCTACTTGCCACATGCATCGTGTGTACGGCCCTCACAGCAGGCCTGTGACGCATGGCTACTAGCATTCCTACTTACCAGAGGAAACACAGGTACAGAATGACCTCAGAAACAGCCAGTCACACCAAGCTAGTAACTGGCTTTGGGGGCCTAAAAGCTCCATCACAGATGAAGCGCTTGTCAATGATAGTACAAAGACGGTGGTGACAATGGCTGGCAATGCTGATCCTGAGGAGGAGAGCTAA